ATTAAACAATGATCACACATTTGACTAACTCTTATTTCCTTTCCTTCTTCCCCTTCAGGGAAAAGCTGGCCGTGGCTCGCCTGCAGAGGGAAGTCGCACGGAGCAAGAGTGAAGGAACAATGGTAAAGTACAGTGCTGCTCCTCCACTATAATTTGAACTTAGCCAAAAAAGCCACAGTATGGTCCTTTCACACACAGACACACACTGTCCTGCTGAGCCAAGCCGTGCCATTGGCTAAAGTCAATCTTTAGTATCTCAACACTTCCAAAGTTGATCTTAAAGAACTGATGGAAAGTGTATTAAAGGTCACCTATTATACAAAATCCACTTTTTCATGTCTTTTATACATAAACATGTGTCCCCTCAACGTTAAGAGATTCTGAAATTTTCAAGAAAAAAGACCCCCTCTCTTTTTGTCCTGATCCATGTCTGAAAATGAGCTGAAACAGAGGGGTTTATGGGATGCTGCAATGATCTGTTTGATGTTTGAGCCAAACACACTCTAGATATGACACCTATAATATATTGATGAGAAACTGTATAATAGGGGACCTTTAAAATGAAATACAGTGTTATATTAGCATCATTTAATAATACAAAATATCTGTTTGAAGTATCCAAGCCCTTGTCAGGTGTTTTAAAGTCCATGATACGGAGACCTTGTTGGACTTGGTGTCATGTTAGCAGTAGTTTTGGATCAGTTCCAGCCGTGGTGCTCCTGCACAACAGGTACTCTGATGCACAGTCATGCTTTGTAACGTTATGAATCAGAGGCTTAAGCTTGTCAACACTGCATTGTGCCGAGCTTGACAGGAACACCGCTGATATTGCGCTTTCACTCATGTAAGCAGTGCCGAGAATTCAATAGGTAGGGGATCAGTACGTGTACACAAGTGTATATTTTAGATCTCTCTTTGTCTCTGAGTGTGCTTACTGTACAGCATGTGTGCAGGTCAGAAAGTGAAACACGTGAGGACGCGGCGCTCAGCTGATTGCTGCCTCTAACCAGCTGTTGGACTCTTTTTATGGCAGCAGGCCTAAAGCAACATACACTACGAGAATTTCTCACTTTGTTTTGTGTTTCTCTATTGATCCCTGAAGCTGGAATGCTGTTTCTTTTGCTTCTGGCCTCACCACAGAGTTTAAGGTCAGATCACGGGTTCAGATACCGATTCCTGGAGTTCTTCAGTGGATTGCTCAAGGGCGCTTCAGGTTTGAAATCTACGGAGGGATCTACCACGTTATTTCTGTAGATTTTCACTACACACATTCACGTCGAGACAATCTCAAAATAGATGGGTTTTTTCCAGTGTCAATGTTAGAGAGTGTGCAATAATAAGCGGTACAGATTCTCCTGCTCACATTCAAGAGTGACTCCGTGCAGATATGTTCAGGAACATGTCACGGACAGACTGATTCAGAGAAAAAGGAGATATGAGACATCCAACCCCCTGCCTTACTGACCTCTCTTTGACTCTTCCAATGCCGTCATCCATGTTATGTATGTGAAACGAGATGGTTCGGTATTGATTTCCACGGTGGGGAGATATACGTGTAGATGAACGGAATGTGTGCAACAAATCACTGCCAGACCATCAGAGTCATGTGGGCAGCTCTCCATGTCACTCCATGTTGGATAGTGGTAATACACATGGCTAAGCTGATCAGATATACTTCACAAAGAAATAGATTTTATAACTCCTTTTCACCATCATCTTGTAGAATACTTAGTTGATACCACCTTTTCATTCTCTTTGGTACCTTCTCCTACCTTTTTATAAACATCCTATTTTCTGTTAATATCCAAACCTCACCTTCCCCTGGCACACTAACCTTGCATCCTCTGACCTAAATATCACCCAAAAATAAATATATATCGCCCTCTATGACACTCCAGTCTCAGTATGACATGCTTATTATGACTTTATAGACGAGTTTCAATTTTCTGCACAATGCACAGGACTGAGAAAGCGAGGGATGGGTTATCTGTGCCAGACAGGAGGAGGGTGAGGAATGGGGGTGTATGAAGGAAGGAAGAAAGAAAGGGAGGAGGAGGGGGGGATATCACTAAGCTCCATTTGAAATTGGGATTATCCCCGTCGGAGTCCCCCTTGCACTCTCTCCCTGGCATTCCTCAGGCACGGCTCTTCAATAGAAACCGAAAAAGAGACTGCTGCATCAAGGAGATAATTGTCAGTGGGAACCAGCCTGTGCCCCGCAGACCCCCCCCCCAATACCCTGACGCCCGTTTTATGCCCACTTCGCTTCCCCCAACCCCCATCTTTACCTACAGAGGGATCAAAAAGAACCGTGGACTTTTTGAAGTGGCTTTTCCCCTGTATGTGATACCTTCCTCTCTACATCCATTAGTGTGTTCTGTGAAACGCGATCAGAAAAGCCCCCCCCCCATCACAGTCCTTGCTTCTTCTGTCCGCGGGGGGCGCACCATTACTGCTCCTCTGTGAAGGAAAAGAATGCATCTTTATGATTGTGCAAGTACACAATTGCAAGCCTCAGGTCTCACAGTTATACAGGCGTGAGTGTAAATGAAACAGCATTAACAGTTTACTGGGGAGCGTGCGGTCTTTAATTGGCTCTCCTGTTGTTAAACACTACTGGCAGAGCAGGAGCACAACACTCTTTTGTTATGGATCATTTGGGAGAATCACATGAAACCTTTTAAATACTTTGCAATCGGAGAGTATATCCCGTCATACGGTTGCATTTGTTTGGACTGATATACTCTAACAACCACCAGATCTTCTCCGATTTTTTTCTTCAACTTTATATCACAGTTTAGACATGGTGCTTTTGTCGTGCTGCGCAGACCGCACTCTTTAAAGGTGTCCTATCATGCAAAATGCACTTTTTGATGTCTTTTATACATTAATATGTGTCCTCGGTGTGTCAGGGAACTCACAAAGTGTCAGAAAATAAAACCCTCTCTTTTCCTCCGTACCCAAATCTCTAAAAACGGGGGTGAGAGGGTTTTATTTTCTGACACTTTGTGAGTTCCCTGACACACCGAGGACACATATTAATGTATNCTTACGTTACTAGTACATACATATACAAGTATACGACACACACACACACACACACACACACACACACACACACACACACACACACACACACACACACACACACACACACAGCTTGGTACAAATATCATCAATGCTCAAACAAAGAGAACGACTTTGTCAAGTGAGACTGAAATCCTGTTAGTGTGTTGCTGGGTCCACCTTTGCGTTCCCTCAGGACTCACAGAAACATCGAAGACGGAAAATTAAAGCCATCCAGCATGATGACAATGAGCAACGCAACTACAATGAGAAGAGCTGAGTGAGGTGGAGAGGTTGGGAGAACGTCCGCGGCTCGATAAGCTCTTTTTGAGGACATAATGGAATCTTTGTCTGTCTCGCCAGAAGCCACCCAATGAGAACCATCCATCTGGGCGACCCCTGCCATTGCGACAAATTCACCTGTCTCCTTTGGGGACCTGTGCAGGACCCAATCAGGGATAAGCTTTTCCCTTCTTAATAGAACTGTAGGTTACTCATACTGCTACTAATTCACCACTACGGTACATCGTAGCCCAGGAGGGAATGCACTTCACAAATATAGTCACTTTTTCCTGGCAAAGTTCCGAGGAGATACTCGTGTCTAACCAGCAATCCAAGGAGACGTGGAAAGGTGCAGCCGGCTTTTTTTATAGTTACAAAATAGCTTGAGACAGGTTTATACATGTCTTATTGATGATTTAAATACCTAAGACTGAAGTCATGATATACGAAATGGAACATGCATCATCTCAAAAGGTCACAACCTGTATGGACTGCTGCTGGCATTAGAAACAAAGAGAAATTGGGTGAAACAAACTGCACGTATAAATTGTTTTTCCAAAAAGGATGTAAGGAAACTGAACATAAGTGAGAATCACCACTTAGTTAAACTCACTGGAACATTTTAAATACGAGATAAATCTCTGCGAAGGGCTCTTAAACGTTGTATTCTTCCCTTGGCGGTGACTCTGCCTTCGTCTGCACTCCAGCACTGGGACCATTAAAACGTACAGGATTTTCTGCACCAACTTAATGAGAAGATAAGCAGTTAATGTGAAATCCTCTGGACTACCTTTTTTTTTTTTTAAGTGAAGCACTGAATGCCTAATTAAGGCATCCACTCGGCTTCAACTCTGATGTGCCGTCCCTCCTCGTCACACCTCAGCGATTGTTTGAGCACTTAGGACCTTTCAAAATAATGCATCATCGTGTATTTTGCTCAGGACAAGTGACTAAAAGAAAGCACTCTTATGAAAAACAAGAGCCAGAACGCTGTATTGATTCTGTGCTGATTGCAGGAGATTGCTGCTAAAGGTCAATTACTTTTGGAGAATTGTTGTTTATTTGTCTGATCCATGCGTTATTAGATCTATCTTTTTTGTATTTCTTTGGCATTCTTATAAGAATGCGTGGGGAGTGAGCAGTGGGGAATATTATGACTTCTGTCTTGTTATGACCATTATTATGACACCTTGCACATGTCCATTATTTGGAGTATAAAGGTCCTCCCAGGCGACTGGATCCTATTCCAGCATAAATCAGTTAAGATTTTTCCATTTCTTTAAAGATCTCCTATCATGCTATTTTTAGGCATATATTATGGGTCTCAGATATATAAAAATTATGTGTTTTGCTCAAAATACCAAACAGATCAGCCATTGATTCTACCCATGCCTCATACCCCTCTATTTCAGCCATGTTAGAGAAGGGCTGATTCTGGGTCCTTAGCCCGTTTTTTTTTTTAGATTTGGGTACGGAGGGAAAGAGAGAGGGTTTTGTTTTCTGACACTTTGCGAGTTCCCTGACCCACCGGGGACACATATTAATGTATAAAAGACATGAAAAAGTGCATTTTGCATGATAGGAGACCTTTAAAAGGCGGACCGCAGGCGTTCAATAAGTCAAGTACACTCTCTGCTTTCAGGCTCTTTTACCTGGAGAATTGCTGCTGCAGTGAAACCATCTGCGCCTGTCCCAGCTCCGACTCCTCCGTCACTTCCCGGAGACGCTTCTCGCTCTCCAGTCGCAGGCGTCGCTCTTCCTCTAGCTCGTGGATCAGCTTTTCTNTGGAGAGAGTATGTGTAAAAAAGCAGGAAATTAAAAGGTACTCACCTTGTGGTAAAACCCGCAAGAGAAGAAGCATTTGAGCTCCATACTGTTTCAGAAATAATCCTAGATGTGGTTTGGAACATGATATGGCATTTTCTTTTAAAGCTACAGATCCAGAATCAGTGTTTCTCTAACAGGGTTGAAATAGAGGGATATGAGGGATGTCTAAAATGCATGATCTGTTTGGTATTTTGAGCATAGACATGTTTCTTATATCTTTGTATGTATCTGAGACCCATAGTATATACCTAAAATTAGCATGATAGGCGATCTTTAAAACCCGTATAAGAAAAACAGAGGTTTATCCTGGTTGGGTGTTTGATAGAGCACAGGTCATGGTTTATTCTGCCTCCATCCACCTCCAACAAGCCTGCCCCTGTGTGACTCTCGCTGCTGTAGGTTTTTCTCTGGAATTCCTCACACCCCAAAAACCCAGAGGCGTGGTACAGGGCAGGGCTGCTCTCCGTCTCCCCGCTCTCTTTTGATGCCACTCTGAAGTGCAGGATGCCTGGTTTCCTGTCGGGGAGAAAACAGGAGGGCACATGGCGGCTCGTAAAGGCTGAGGCTCTCCATTTAAAAACGGCATTTGAAAACTGTTAGATTATGACCACTGGAAACGGCTGTCTAAACAACATGGGAAAATAAACGATCTGGCTTCGAGAGACTTTATTTTTCTTTGGGCTTTGCGGACGCTCGCTGATATCTGAGCTTAAACAGATACACACATACAGTAGATCCTCACATGGTTATTTTCCCGGGACGATAAATACATCGTGAACGATAAAGACTTGTTTTGGCTTGCTTAATCGTGTTCTTATTTAAAATCTGATTTCTCCAGAGTATTTCATGTAGAAAATAAAGTTCAGATAAGAATGAAGCTGCATTTGTGAATATCAAGTGGCAGCGGGTGGCACAGAAGGGTGAAATAGGCCCTGGAGCTAGGATAAGAATCAGCTAAAACAGATTTCTCATGCGCTGCAGTCTGCATGATTCATGTGACATAGATTATAAAACTGCATTAAGGAAAGAAACTCGTTTAAACAACGGAATGCCCCTCTTAATAAGTCATTTGGTAACAAAGTCAACAACACTGCATCTTTTCCTCATCTGGATCAAACCATGATTTAATTGGTTTTGCTGTAATTAAAGCATATCATGCTTTATTTGACAATGATTAATTCATGCACCATAAAAAGCAAGTTTGAGGCTGGACATCTTTTGTAGTGTGCCCTCAGCAGATAAAGGTTTTCGAGGGGGCTCCCAGCTTTGAAAAGACTGGGGGTCCTCATGGAGATCCGGCGCGTTGAGGGACCTCCTAAGAACGTTCCTGACAGCTGTTTGGAGGGTGGATGACAGCGTGGCGGTTTGGGGGGCACAGGGGGGAATCAGGTGCCGTCTCCGCAGATTGGCCTTATCAGCCATGGACAGCGGTGAGGGCCAAGAAGACCCCCCCCCC